CTCTCTGGCCTATAAATACGACCAAGAAGAGTGAAACAACTTCTATATATTCCCTGTCTGAGAATCAAACATTTATCAGTCAAGCCAAAACAGCTGTTTGTTTAAATGCAAGTGCCTTCTTCTGGCATAAATGAAGCAATATAGATTCAGAGATACAATAACATGTAATTAATCAGATCTGATGCAATTATTGGCTCCCCCACAAGCCAGTGTAAGAGCTCAGCCCTGCAGTACATAGTTAGGACCAGCAGTGATGGCACAAGGTCGGGTGGAGCCCAGGCTGAGCGTGATACCTATTTGTACAGGAGTCCTGGTGAAACAGGGGTGAACCACATGCCTCAAGATAAAAGGCTACTGCTTTTTGTATTTTAAAAAACAAAGTTCTAGCTAAGTTATTGTTTTACATGGCCATTTTGGTTTTATTTCACTTTCCTGAAATCACCAAAAAACATAAGTATATCCAGACTGTGTATTACATGTTTGGTTCCAAACACCACCGTAGCAGGATGGGTTCTCACCTCACCCATCTTCTGCACCAGTGATGCAAAAGCACCCTTCCCTGCTGGGGATCTAAGTTGCCCAGGGAAGTTGTGGATGCTCCCTCCCTGGAAGTGTTCAAGGCCAGGCTGGATGAGACTTCGAGCAACCTGGTCTAGTGGAAGGTGTCCCTGCTGATGGCATTGGGGTTGGAACTGGATGATCTTTAAGGTCCCTTCCAACCCAAACCATTCTATGATCTCTCTTGATTAATTGTGCTGAAGCAAAGAGCTACTTAGCTCCAGGAATGCTGACATGTTTACAAGCAGATGAGGAGGAACAGGGAAGTAAATCTCAGCAAGCATTGCAAAAAGAGGAGACTTCAGTGGCCTAAAACCACTGACACAAGCTGAAGCAAACTCCACATTCAGAGTTCACTAACTTCCCTTTCTCTACACTCGTTCCTTGGTATGCAATGTAAAGCAGGTGGGTTTTATCACTAAATAGGACTTGAGTACCATCTTTCAGACAAGTAGTTATCATTGTCCTGGGACAGTGGTGACAGCCTCTGGCTATTCATTCCAGGTCCCCTGAGAAGCTCACTGCAGCTCTGCAAGCCATTGGTGTATCAGTGGTCTGAGACCTAAGGCTGAATTTAAGAGGAAGTGATTAATGGATTTTCTCTCCCAACACAGCAACAAGGAAGTTCCCAGCAAAACTGTCAGAATTAAGAAGCAGTATTGTTGTGCTGTGAATAATTACATTGAGCAACTCCTCGCTGGGCATGGGGGGAGCTGAAATGAACTGCTTCAGAAGGGGTGGTGCCAATTCAGAGGGGCTGGATCCAGGAGAAGGTGAAAGACCCCAGGAATCCAGCCAACACCCCTTCCAGGACAACCCCGGGGCAGACCTCTTTCACACAGAAACAAGCCCTTCGTACATGTGCAAGCTGACCTGGAAAGTTTAGAAAAGCCATTACCTGTGCCCCAGCAGAGGTAAAGAAAAGGCAGGTGAGGACAATCATCTTCCTGTTATCACCTTCTCCTGACTCACAAAGGCAAGCAAAGCTCAACCCCCAAACCAGGTGTCCCTCCAAGCACAGCTGATGAGGGTACCGTAGACTTAAAATCAAAAAACCAGTAACAGTCCAGGATATCTCCCCAATTAGCACACCCTGTACCATTATTCCCTTATTCTTGTCCTCAAGCAATGGTTTGTGCACAAGTTTCCAATTAAAGTTGTAACTGAGCAAGTCTAAACAGCTCATTAACAAAAGGTGATGTTCATTATCCTGGTTTTAAGAGATCTTAAATCTCCTGAGACAGGCCAATGGCCTCTCCCCATCAGAACATGAACACCAGGTGCTAATTAACTTACTTGAGGTTACATAAACTAATTCAGTGGTGAAGCAGGAAATCTGTTTCCCTGATGTTTCACTAAACCTGGTAGTACAGTGAGCTTGGGGGAAAAACTGTATAAATACATTTGTGCTCAGATACCACTTCTGCAGGCCAAATAAGCGAAGCTGGGGAAAAGAACAAGGATGCTTCAGACACAGGGCGCGGTGTGGGAAAGGGAGGTGAAGGACACAGGAAAGAGCTCTTTAGCTGGTAAACAGAGCACAGGCAACAGCAGGAAATCATTAAGAGCCTACAAGGTTATCTCTAATTCCCACGAAGCAGCACAGCTGACTGCCCCTCTTGTTTTGCAAGACAAGAAAGCAGTGCTGGCTGCTGGGATCAGTGTGGACACGTTGGAGGGGAGCATGCAGTGGCTACGCAGCCTCAGCTCCCTTAGAGCTCGGCAAAGTGCCAGGCAGTCATCTCTTGGTTGGTCTAGCTGGGTAAACACACAGAACTGGTGCCTGGGAGGTTACATAAACCCCACTCATCCCCTTAAATCTGCACCCCAATACCTAAATATAAAGAGAGAAATACAGTTATTTCACATAAATTTATTTAACAAACTTCGGGAATATTGCTTGACACTTCCAAAGGCTTCAGAAAATGAACAGTTACCCATTGCTGCACAGGCTGCCGTATACAAGGATGTCTCCGAGACAATCAACCTGTTTTGTAGCATTTAGCTGTCAAAACGCATCTTCTCCCAGCATTAGTAAGTCAAGCGGGACTATACAAAGCCAGATGGAAAAAAGTGACTATGTTTTCCCTCAAGAATTCCCTACCCCCAGTAAAAGGCCTCTTCTTCAGCTAGCCAAGGACATCCCAAAATCATTCACAATTGCACCAAGTCTTGGGTGAACTCAATGACCAATTGTCCACTGCCTCCCTCTAACCCAAGTGGGAGGCACCAGCCTGGGACTCAGTCTGGCTATGGCTACCTTCCCCAGGGAAGGGCTGGGGCACAGCCTCCCACCAGCACCTCCCCCAGTACATGCAGAATTGATTTCCAGTTGTGGATGCCACCAAGAAGGCACTCTGCAGTTACATTCATGTTTCTAGACAAGCCATGGATACCCTTGAGCTCATGTAGGCAAACTGTCCTGCCTGCCATGGGCACCCCCAGGCACCACAACTGATTTATCAGTTCGTTAAGGCACTCTACCACCTGATAACATCAAGGTGCAACAGTTTGGGACTAGACCTTGCAGACTCTCTCTGGGGTTAAGTAGCTCTGCTAAAGCTAGACACCGCTCACACAAACATCTGCAAGTTCAGCCCACTAGCATGTCTTCAACAGCACAATTCAGCAAATCAAAAGCACCTCATAGAGAGACACTATCACAGTGCAGTTTTCCAGAGGCAGGTTAAGACCCTTGTCCTTGAGAGTGGGTCAATAGACCCTGACAGAGCCCCAGATATTGCAAGAGCTTCAGAAGTTGGCTGGGTAGCACAGCTCCGTGCATTGTATCACCAAAAAGATGGGCACACTCAGGTGCAAAAGCACAACTGGCACTGTCCAGAGCAAGCCTGCTCTGAAACTGCATCGCAAAACAGGCTTAGGAGTGTTATCCTAAAATGTTATAGAAATCTGAGAAGGAATGGAGACTGTCCTCACAAAGGCAAGCAAGCACACAGGAGTATATTCAGCAAGCGTGGATGTACGTTCAGGCAAGACTTCAGACTCTTGGCTTTCAAACACAAAGCTGTTTACTCGTGGCTCGCCTACACAGCCTTCTTGGTCTTTGTGCTATGATGCTTTTGTTTCAGGTGAAAAAACTGTCAAACTTGCTGCACAGGAAATGAAAACCTTGCTCAACAGCTATCAGACAAGCTCCAGAGATGAAACATGTAAAAACATTTGTCCTAAAACAAAAATACAGGCAGTTTTACCAGCAGATAAAAAAACCCCCACAAACAAACTTTAGACCAGAAACCCTGAAATACTCTGAAGACATTTTTTGGGGACAAGAAAAGTGATGCATGTTGGACAGGGAGGACACATCTAGGGCAGCCAGTCTCTGAGGTCTTCTCTTTTACATCAGACACCATGGGAAACTTCAAAGCTGCAGCAGTTTTAGAGATCTCAACTCAGGCATTGGCAGGAGGAAGACCAGCCTTAATACAGTTTTGGCCAAGTCTCTTTGTATCTCTGCCAGCTGTCCCATCAGCCCCTCCTTAGGCAGTCTTGGGCTGCTTTTCCTCCCAGGCCCATTGTTAATCAGGGGATGAAAATGACTTGATCTGGTCAGGAGGATCTAGAGTGTCCTCCTCCCAAAAGAAATGCTACAGAATGAGGAGACTTTCCCATTGCCCCAGCAGGAAACCTTGGCAACCAAAACACAGCCCAGAAAGTGTGGTGGTCTCAGCATGGTCTGCCCAGCCACAATGCCCACCTAAAGCCCCTGTGGAACTTGTCTTCCTGCTGCAAAGGGACAAAAAAGAAACCAGGAAGAGCAATGTCCCATTACAGAGGGCCTTGCAAGGGCTGTGAAGGAGTCAGTTTGGGTTACAGGTTGGCACGTGTCCTACTGGGGTGGTAGAGGAGTGGTGACAGCAGGGAGAGGCCACAAGTGCAGGAACATGCACTGCTGCCCAAGGAAGGCATCACAACCCTTCCTCATACACCTGTATCACCCAATGCCTGTACCTGGCCCCAGGACAGCTACATCTCCCTGCACCTCTGTCAGGTGTCCCAGAAGAACTCACAGTGGAAAGGACCGATACAGGGAACGTGCCAGCAGGAAACAAAACAGGTGACCAGATCAAGATCTGTGTGCCTTCTCTTTTGAAAGGGAAATGGTGGAGCGAGATGCAGTGAAGATCTGTAATACTCCACACCAGTGAGCATGGCCAGGCACAAATCATCTGTCCCTGAGACAGAGCAAAGCCATGAGACACACTGAAGTTGTGTCACACTCTTCACAGGCTCTGGAGTATGGGGGAAAGCCCAGCAACACCAAATCCATAGCAGTACAGGCTTTGTATAAGCTTCAAAACTGATCCCATTAGTCTGCCACCCCTCTGCACACCTAATGGGACACCCTCTTTTTAATCCACTCCTCTAGAAAAAGGCATTTCAGCAGCAACCAGTCTCAGTCCCTCAGTCTCAGAGCTGTGTTGCGCAGCTCTCCACGCTGACCAGTGGGTGGGTATGTCTTCTACAGGCATCAAGACTGACTCATGCTTCCCCTCCTTGCACACAATTTAAGACACGGTGTCCTTTTCAAACTTCATTAGACTCCCTTTTTTTCCAGTCTAATCAGCAAAGCTGATTACACAAAGGTGGAGGTACATTCTTTGCACCTAGATTTTGCCTACCCCGTTCCTGGGGTGCGTGAGGCTATTGATGTGAAGTCCGCTGATCCCATTGAGGAAGAAGAGAAAGGCAGCGATGAACTCACACCAGTACGTCAGCGTGAAGCCCGTGAAGGTGAGGTGATCCTTCACGAGGATGGAGAAGCTCAGAACTCCAGTGGCCGACAGCAAAAACGAACCGAGGATGAGAACCGAGCCCATCGACCACTTCCGCCTTGCGTTGGCATCCTCACAGACTTGGGACACCATCAGCAGCTCCAGTCCAAATATGGCAACCACAACAGCGAAGGACACCATGCTTCTTATGGGAATCACCCCCACACTCAGCCCTTCCACCTTGGCCAGGCTGAGGTCAGTGACACACTTCAGGACGCTGCCGTTGCTCACGGTGCAGAAGTGCCACAGTCCGAAGAGCTGCCCCCTCGCGAAGAGCCAGCGGCCATCGCAAACAGAGATGGACGACAAGACCACCGCTATCGCCACGCACAGGATGATCAGGCTCCTGATGAGTGTCTCAAAGAAGGATTTCTGTGGTCTCCGATGCGCCAGCAGCCTCTGTGCCTTAAAGGGTAGCAGGGGGAAGAAAAGCAGCTGAGTTAACAGCCCTGCTTTAGGCTGAAATGAAACCAGAGGGACAAAGCTGGGGGACTTCAGCATCTGAAGTGATCTGCTAGTGCACATCAAACCCCTTCGCACAGGGGAAGGGAGGGCAGTTACAGGCTGTACCCAGGAGAAAGGAAGGGTGGGTGAAGCTCTCCCAGTTCCCTGAACAATGCACCCACGTCAAAGCCCGGGTTCGGGATCACAGAGGCTCCGGGCTGAGCACGAGCCCTGCCCCACGGCCCCATCAGCCTCCGGCTCTGGCAGGGCTGGAGGAAAC